TAATAAACGCTTGTATATTCAATCATCATCTGTATCAGCTGCTGGGAATGTATTTTGATCCTAACGATTTATCTTTTGCTTTGTGCTATAATTGATCCTAAGGCCATGTGAGGAGAAGCTGGAGTCAGCTTCATTTGTCCAACCTGTCTGTGTTCTGATAGCTAGCTTCTCAGGCAGTGTGACTCTTAGAAAATTCTAATTCTAGCTCATCTAATGTGCCCATAGCTCTAGGGCACAGTTTATTACCAAGAAAAACCATAGGTGCAGAAAGGAAAGAGAGAGAAGGTCATATTTCCTTAAAGATTTATTCTTTCCTTTGATTATATCAGTGCAGTGGACTGAACAGGAAACAAAAGACCATTATTTCTGACGCTTTTATATTTTAGAGGAAAAATTTACAATGGGATTCCATGTTCAAGAAATGTACAGAAAGTTTTTAAAACTCTGATCACTAGATTCAAATGGCTATAGTCTTTCAAAAGTTATTTCTGCTTGGAGAGCAAAATACTCAAACAGCTTAATCCCAAATTTAAAACGGTTTTTAAATGTTTTCGTTTTTTGCTTTGAGCAATCACTTGAGGTGCTGAACTATGTATTGGTCCTAAAGTGGTTAATAAGTTTGGTGAGTAAAGAGCCTATATATCCTTTGCAAAAGAGACTGAACTTCACGTCAAAATTGATGTTGCTATGTTCTCTCAGTCCTCACGGTAAGAAGGAAAACAAACAGCAAGCTTCGCAAAAGATGTGACGTCTTCTTTACTGATGCTCAGGGGTCATGTTTAGTTCCTTTAATTAACTTAGATACTCGACTGCTTCCCAAACCACTGACATTCCATCCTGTTGCTGGAAAGTCTAGCTCCCATGGCTGTAGGCAAATTCTGCCACGGGCTCACTCTAAGGGTTTTTAATAAGTAAACTTCTAAGAACTGCGGTTTTATCATCAAGATTTCTACACACCCATTTAAAATTGCTTGACTACTATAGAGGTAAGAATGTAAGAATTACTGTGCACATGTGAACTGTGTGGGCAATGACATTAAACTAAGAAGCATAATGTTTTCTTGATGTATGTGAGTTTTCAGAAAGATTATCATTGCGATTTTGAAGGTAATGAAGTAATTAATACACCAAATAACCTTGAGACACAGGAAAGCAAATGTAAGGCAAACAAAATTCTAACCTACCTCGATATTCCTGCGGGCTTGGGTTGCATTCCTCTCATGCTGGATGGGAATTAGAGG